GTATAAATGATGTTATCCCATAGATGCATACTACTACATATGAAGTAACAACCACAATAATAATAAATGATACTTATTTAATAAAAAAGTAAACTTTGTAAATAAAAAAAACATAAGAATATGTTTTTATATCTTTTTTTGAAAATATAACCAACAAAGATGACAACCTCTAACCCCTCTATTCTAAAACAAAAAAATATGTATAAAATGCTGTATTATGTATATATGAAATAAATAATATAAAAATATGTAATTTCTGAACCCTTGGGGTTTTCCCCTCTTGCTGGAGATGGAAATTTCAATATGGCCACTCAATTTAAAATAAGAAAAGATTTTCGAGATGGTTGCTAAATTTCAAAATGGCTGCCATTTTTCGTAAAAAACGCAATCTCTTATAACTCAAATACCAGTCGACGGATTCGATTCACATTTCATATGCAGATGCCTAAGGGGACACAGGAGCTCTGCTCAAGAAGGAATTTTCAAGATGGCAGCTGAATTTTAAAATGGCTGCCATTTGTCGGAAAAGCTTGTTATCTTTTGGATGACTCAAAAACCTTGTCACAAAAAAGGAGCTATGTTTTCGAAGAAATTTTCAAGATGGGAACTACATATCAAAACATGTTTTGTATGGTGGGATTTGCTACTCCGAAGAGTTGCTGTTTTCTAGTTCTGGTTTCATAGCATGTGTTAAGTATTAGTAATATACAGTAAATTACAAATGCAGAACATTTCCAACACCCCAATATAGCATTGCTTGTGCAACTATAGTCATTATAATGTTCTTAGTACATGTGTACTGACCATCTACAATTCATCTTGTCAATTCAGTACTTGTACTTGTCTGTATATTTACCAGAAGACAGATGCCTGTAAATGTTCATCCTCTCAGGTTTATTGTATTATGTCAATGCAGAGATGCCTACAATTCTTTATTAGGAATGAGGGCTTTTCTCCTTCTTTCTATTCTATTAAACTTCAGGTGATATGTATGTAAGAGAACTGAGTGAGAATTTTGCTGTTCAGATTGTGAAGTAAAATAGAGATTCCAAGAGCATCTGAAGATTTATTATAATGGTCTCAAGAAACAACCTTAACCATTTCTTTCATGGAACTCATAAACAATGAGTAAATGTTTTCAACCTTTTAGCCTTATTTTTATAGTGTCACTTTGATATTGAGTGTAAATCTGACAAATAACAGGGACTTAATAATGGACTTATGATGTTGTGAATTTATCTATAGGCCCTATCTGGATCCCAACCCCCCCCCCCGACCCTCCAACTCGCCACACATATTTCATTCATCCTGTTTCTTACCAAATGGCAGTAGACATAATTTGTTTTACAACCCCCTCCACATATAATTTGGATGAGAGATTGTATGCATGGCTACATTTGACCTGAATTGGATAACTAGACTTGATAATAAACCTGGGATTTATTAATTGAATGATACAGTAAACACTGTCTTAGTGAGCACCTCTCTTTTGTGAACACCTGTCTCTAGTAGACACCCTTCCTCCACACATACCCTACTGACTTCTGTACAAATAACCATCTCTGTAGTGAACACCCACCAACACTGAATGTTTTTCCTTAACAAAAAAATGTTCAATATACACAGGTTTTACTGTATAATGTAAAGGAGGATCAATCTGGTACTTGTGTCATTGGAAACTAATATGTCTAGACTTATAAATTATCATTATTATTTCCACTAATAATGGATAGGGTAATAAGGTAATAAAGGACTCGGGTAGTACATGGCTACATGTCAACAGTTTTTTTTTTAATTTAAATTAAACATATCTTGCTTAATATCAATTTTTTGTGACACATTTGAAATCTACAATACATTAGGGAGTTTGTAAGCTCATAGTTATTATAGATATAGAAAGGCACCCTCACAGTTTTTTCTGGCTTCACAAAGATCAAAATTATGATGTTTTGTGGGATTTTGTCTCTTACTAGAAATAATCTATTACATGATATTGATACCCATGAGATGTGCATTGTATGTCATTTCCATCTTACCTTGATGAAGGAATATATATTTAAATTGAAAGTACTAAAGAGGAGCTATATAATGAAAATGAGTAAATCCTTCTTGAGGGAAAAAAGTCTTTCTGCTTTTTTTCTTCATCTTTAAATCAGTCTATCAAAAATCTGAGTACTTCCGAACACTCCAAAGCATCATAGATTTCAATTTAAATTGAACTGTTTTACCATTTAATTCAAATGATATACATATATGTGATCAGTTTTCACACAGATAGTCTTTTTTATATAATATAATATGTGATCAGATGTTATCAGACGTTTCATTAGCAGTAGGCATGATCAAGATTTATGATGATTTATCTCAGATTGTTATTAGAGGAATTTTGCATGTTTTCCTTGTGTTAGAATAACTAGCAATCTAACCCTTCCGAGTGGGTCACCAATGGTCACAGCAGCCCTCACATGGCAGCAGCCTCCATAAAATGCTAATACCTGTATATTGATTGTTTGAACTTGACTAATTCATAAATTGAGGTGAACTTATCCAAAGGCCTTGAAATGCCAAATACCTAGATATTCACCTTTGACTTTGAGATTACCTTGGCCCATTAACATTGACTTTGACCTCACCAGATACTTAGTTTTTACCTTTAACCTTGAGATGACCTTGACCAATATAACATTGACCTTGACCTCAGGTCACCTAATCGTGGGTTGCTAAGGGTAACAGCAGCCCCCAGCGTCTTAAAATGCCAAATATCTAAATATTGACCATCGATCTTGGAATGGCCTTGACTTCAGATCACCTAATGGTGGGTCCCCAAAAGTCACAGCAGCCCCCAAGGTCCATAAAACACCAAATATTTAGATATTGACCTTTGACCTTGAGATGACCTTGACCCATAAACATTGACTTTGACCTCAAGCCAACTTATCAATTATCACCAAGCAGCATCAATGACTTCGAATCACCAAATACCTAAATATTGACCTTTGACCTAGGAATGACCTAATCATGGGTTGCCAAGGGTCACAACAGCCCCCAAATGCATTAAAACGCTAAATACTAATATATTGACCGTTGACCTTGGAATGACCTTTAATGACCTTGGCCTCAGGTCACCTAATCATGGGTCAGTAGGGGTCACAGCACAGACCAAAAAGCCAAATAGCTAGATATTGACCTTTTGCCTTGGAATGACCTTGATCTCTTACGTTCGTAGAACCCACTTAGTATGATGACCAAGTATGAGGGCCCAAGGTCAAACGGTTTAGGAGGAGATGTCTGGACAGACAAACAGACCACTGTGTTTTATTGATAGAAGAAGATGATGATGATATATTATATTTTTTATTTTCATTCATAATGCTTCCCTTAGTGTTGAACAGTAATTTTTACATGTTCATATCATTAGATGATGTAAATGATACTTCATAATTTACATTTAGTTAAGAACAGCTGGATGGTATAAATGTGGTGGGACAGCCTTTTGTGTGGGGTACTAGTTTAAAACTATTTGTAATAGCATCTGTGTTCAATAATTAAGGAATAAATAATGATAGGCCATTCAATATGGTGAAATTCAGCACGAGTTGGACAGAATGTTGTACAAAGCACGAACCGAAGGTGAGTGCATTTGTACTAACATTCTGTCCAACGAGCGCTGAATTTCACCATATTGAATGGCCTATCATTATTTATTCCGATTCAAACATAAAAATAGTAAAAGCCGTGTCTGTGGAACGGGCATGAAGGAAGAATAGTTGAATACGCATGCAATCCCCGGACAGAGCCCCAGATGTGCAGCTGAGATGTGACGTCACTCAAAACAATGCAAATTGCAGATTGAATAGAGCATGGTCGTGCATCTATGGAGAATTAGAGAACGTTCTATATTGGCTATGCTGCATTCTGATTGGTTGAGAAATTCGAATAGAGCATGGTCATGTTTGAATTATTAATTAAGTACTTACGCCCCAATTATAACCTTTGCAAGAGCTCAAGTTCATCTTAACTCTTTAAATGAGAGATAATTCACTCCATTTACCTACTAGTCTTTATTGTATAAGAAAAAGGTGTTTGTCTCTTTGTAGACATTGTTTATTCTTATATAATATGAAAAATTATATATTACTTTTGATAATGATGCATTAATTAAATTATGCAATTTTTGTATTAAGTTGTTAGGCTGCATTCACAGTAAATTGTTATTGTAAGTTTTGCTTAATACCAAATCAGGGGATGATTGAAAGTTTAATTAATTATAAAACTCAAGTTGAGGTAAATGAATAACGTCATCAATATATCTACATGTATGAAAATAAATGTACATTATTTATTAAGGGGCACACCATTGGTCAAAATAGAAATCATGTTAAGCTGTGATTATATAACTCTGTGAACTCTAATCCAAGTATATCATGCCTTCAATATATATCATTATTATTTCCATGCCGTTCTCTCATTGGTCAATTAGATACCATGTGACTAAAAATATATTGAGGTATTCCATGTCTCCCTGCTTAGAAAACGTGTGAAGAGTGTATTCACCAACAGTGACATCATATTTAGTGAATACCACTATACGTGTATATTCAATTATAATGTGACGTCACATCACTTAATTCCTGGGAATTTAGTAAAAAGTATTTTCATCCGATATGACAGATGGTGAAGTTGTATCAGGAAGCCCTCCCAAGAAAAGGTTCAATACTGTATAACATATAACATATAACCCTTCGGGCTGCGATGAATACACCTTCAGAATATATACAGATATTCAACTCTACAATATTCAATATTCAATATTTGTATAATATTTACATCATTAGCTAGGAACTTCCAGACTATCGCAATTCTGAGGTATAAAATTTTGACTACATTGAGTCAAATGGAATTTGGTTAAGTAGATTTCAAACCGATAGGTTTTGGAGCAACAGTGTGTAATATTATAATTTAAGATGTTTTGTATAATTTGAAATATTCTGTATTTTCAGTGTGCCTTGTCCTGTGTGAACAATCCAGTCATGCTTTCACTAAGTGGGCAGATTTACCGCTTTGACCAAGTTCCAGACCACTTTAAGGAGCTCTTCATAATCTCCGGGTATAGGCATCCCAAATCCTCACCACAACAATGCATTCTCAGTATATTCGATGCGACAAATGAAACACTGAACTTTTGGACTCACTTCCTGCCAACATTGTTCTTCATCTGGAAATTACGTGCCCTTGCAGAAGTTTATGATTTCACCCATGATGCTTACTCATGGCCTCTCCTGGCCTATATGTTCTGTCTTTGTGTTTATCCGCTTACAAGCGCCATTGCTCATATTTTTAACTGTATGTCTGACCGTGCCCGCCATTTCTGTTTTTTCCTGGACTATGCTGCTCTAAGTATATATGGGCTGGGAAGTGCAATTGCATATCGTGCTTACGTATTTCCGGAAGGCTTAATAGGCACTACCTTTGGGAATATGTACCTTTATGTTGCCATATTGAATTCCATATTGTCTATGATGTTGTGTTGTGAGACACGTTTCATGGATAATTTCACCAAGAAAAAGAAGATTTTACGGATGGGATCCATGATGATGCCTTACTTCTTTGACAGTATACCTGTTGTTTATAGACTGTTTGTGTGCGATGGCACTGAATGTGATCTGCGCTCGACTCATCTACTTTACAGGCAGTTTTTCTTCGCTGCTGGCTCTGCATTTTTATACTCGACACATCTTCCAGAGCGTATATTTCCTGGAACATTTGACATTATTGGTCACAGTCATCAATTATTCCATATTTGCAGTGTCATGGGCACTTTTGACCAAATGAATGCAATTTTATATGACATGGTAGACAGGCGTGAATTCATTTTAGCCAATGATATGATACCATCATTCAGTCTTTCAATTGGGGCCATGCTACTCAGTTTGGCGCTAATCCTCCTTCTGCTTGCATGTTTCACTTATCGTCTCTACAATATGCCGATCCATGGTGTACAAACCCATGGCAAACACAGGGAAGATATGTGCTCTTGTAACAATAACAACAAGAAAGATTAATTAGCAGAGGATTAATTTCAGAAATCATCTCAATATAGGTGCTCAATGTTCTCCCTGGGATTTCCACTCGCCGCTCCAAAATTAAAATACCATACAACTCATTCAGCTATAAGATAAATATTTAAAACTTGATCATATTTTTCTAAATTCTCAACTTTATTTCTGGGGAGAACACTGTCATCATTGATGTCAAAATACATGTGCCATTTCCTCTGTCATGGAATTATGTTGCTATGAAAACCTGAATGTTACTTATTTTGATGTAGATTTATGTCAATGTAACAAAAGCGAAGGCTTATAAACAAATTCAAAATGGAAGGTATATTCTTAAACTAGACTATATTCTCCAAACTATAATCTGCAAATTGAAGTATTAGCAGATTTAAATTGAGAAAACAAATAGTCTTAACTCAAACTTATGTAGTTTACCATTTTGTCACTTTGACATTACATATTAACTAGTTGGGGAACAGTGTGAAACTGAATACAGGCATTCAGATAGCAAATATGTTTTATAATGAGGGGATCCTTGGAGAGGGGCACTCATTGATAAAGGTTGAAGTATATTTTATGTTTTCAGGCATAGTCAGATAATTGTTTTGTTATGATTCTTGCCTTTTTTCAAACTGATGAGACATAGCTGTTCAATCTTGCTTTTTGTTCAAAAACAAATGAGACATAGAGGTATTTTGACATTTTTAAAACATGTACACTGTGACTGTACAGTACATGCTTTGGCTTGATATTGATATTATATTTTGAATTCAGATATACATACATGTATAGGTACATTCACCATTTCAATTGATTTTTTAGACAATTTGGAACTACTTGTATTTACTACCCATGTAGTGACATGCCGTATATTTTTCTTGACAGGAAATAATAATTCATGCAGGGGTTTAAAGGGGAGGAGTACACACTACACAGGTATCAGAATAAAAAAATTAACTTCCCCTTTCAAATATACAACTAAGCTTTGTATATTCTTCAAGAGTGTGCATGTATTGTCAAGGTAAATATAGAGTAAAGTGTGAACTAGAATGTATATTTGTCAGTGTCACAATGTTTGTTCAATAACCATATCTCAATGTTTATATTTTACCATGTAATAATGTGTGATATGACCATGTCACAATTTATACTTTGAACTTATCACAACATTTGAAATTGACATCCTCACAATTTATACATTAGGACTTTGCGATGTATGTTTTGATCAATATATGTATTTTTTGACCTCGTCACATGTATATTTTCTCTGTCAGTATGTGCTCCTTGTCACAATGTATGCATTTTCCATGTCACAATTAACAAATGGACCACTGTTTTCCATTTTGCAGAGATCTGAGCATTTTTATGTATTTTCCATGTCATGATGATGATGTATGTAATGGGCCATGTCATAAAATAGGCATTTGTATAAATATAATGTATTTGTATATGTCATTATCAACATATATGAGATTTGGCCATGTCGTAGTCTGTACTGCTCTCCATTTCACAGAGATCTGGGATATCATAAACATCCCAGATATTATACATTAGTGATGCCTTGTTTGAATAAGATTTTTGTATTGTAGTGAGTGTCGTATACCGTATATTTGGAAAAGATATGCTTGAAATACTATTGATGTTGTCTTTAGACTTCTCAAAACTGCCTTGTCCAATTCAGTATTGTTTAATGTGATGTCAGGTCACATTGATAGAAACTGCTTATTCACCATCATGTGTGAAATTTATAAAATGTGAAGAATTTGTATACCCATCATTGTAGAAGATCAGTACCCAATGAATGTCAAACTACCAGTGTAAATGTTACTTGAATTGGTGCTTTAAGTTAAAGTTGAAAAATGTACTGTCTAATTTCATTTTTTCTCAGTTTTGAAAAATAGTGCAATTCAACGGACTGTGCTAATGTAATTGCAATATTGATAAAACTTGTACTTATATACCTGTATACAGGCTGTCCCAAAACATTGTACCATTGATGAAGGAACATTTGAAATTTGGTCATTTCGACAAAATGCTTGTTTAAGCTGCATTACACATTCTTCCATTGTTAGAAATTGCATTTGGTTTTGCATTGATAGTGATGGAGGTCATTTATTAAAAGCTTTTCAAATTTTCAGCCTGACAAATTTTTCAGTAAGTAATTTAAAATTTTGATGAATTTTTATACAAATATGCTAATTGGAAAATGAATTCCTTTTAACAAGTTAAAAGTTCAGCTTTTTTCAATGAAGGAAAAAGACATGCATTTTCGTTTCATTTGGATCATTACAACTGGGTACAATTTTCCGGAACACCTTGTCCATATATGTACACGGTCATTATGGAACCCTCCGACTTCAAACCATATTTTTATTGCATATTGCTGTTGTATATTTTGTAAATGGTCAATAAAAGGAGGTTTTGTTTTTATAGATTGCCAATTTCAAAACATCATTTTCAAATTGTATACTTATATATTGCTACTGTAGAGGCAAGTCCTTGTATTGGCTTTTGTTAATGTATGCCCCAAAAAGCCTTAATTGTACAGAATTTGAAACAATTAAACTTAGATTAAGTACATGTAGTTTTATATATTTTTTATATGATTAGATATGTGATGCTTTTTAATGTCTTACTTTATTTTCATTTGAACAATGTAGCCATGAATGTGGTCACGTAACCTTGATATTTGATGGGTTAGTATAATACTGTAAAATTTGCATGAAAATCAATTTAATATGTTATCCTATAATTAAGCCCCCAAGAGCTAATTGACCTTGACCATTGTTGCAAGGTCAATTTGCAATGTAAAATCTTGTAAGTATTTCCTAGAATATTGATTTATTCATGTTTCAAAAGTTATTAAGATGTGTTATGTGTTCCTGATATGGTGTATAGTGTATACATGGGACAGGTGAAACAATTGAGTAATTGGTATGATTATAGTGTTGTTTTAGACTGTACTGGTCCAGTAACGCATCAGTGTCATTCTATGTGCATTAGAGATTTTTACAGATCTTTTATTTCAAATGATTGAGGCATATTATCAACTTTTATATGGAGTTGTCTTACACGCAAGTTTTGCTTTAAATTCTACATTTAATCCATGTTAACAATACTTTGTGTTGTTGAATGTGTGGATATGGTTTTCACACTACACGTTATATTGAAACAGCCTTTGACATCCACTCAATAAGGGATAATTTGTAGAATTTAATATGAAACATGAGATGACTACTTATAGGGAATGATTCTTGGAATAATAGACTGATGATATGCTAACAACTCGTACCAGGGGTGCATTGTCATAACCATTCTTAACATTATGAAAAGTCAATAGTTCTATGGCATCATGATTGTCCTGGTTACAATGGATTTAATGAATGATAGGTTACTATCTATATAACAATATTGGGAGATAGTTGTGCTCCTTCTGAATACAACTGTTGAATGAGAAAATCTAAAGTTTGAAAAGATCTAAAGTTTGAAAAGATTTCCATTCAATATTAACCAATTAATACTATACCTTTTTAGAGCTCTTTGTTTGTTCAGTGTTGATTGATTGTTTATTTGTTTGTTTGTTATGAGACAAGAATTTGTAAGATGACTTTGATTTCACATTTATTTGTGATGCCTTATTAACTACCAAGTATACCAGTAAAATGATGCATATCAATAAAACATTACTAAAAATGACCAATTTCTATCAGTAATTAGAATAAAGCTTTGCATTTATTGAATGCTTATTATTATTGATTGTTAAAACAAAATGTTAGCCAACTGCTTACTAAGCTTTTATGAAGGTATGTAGTTTGCAGCTTGGCAGAGAATAAATAAGTTGAATATTTAAATTTAAAGAAATTTGTTCTGTCAAATTGGTATAACCATGCGTGAATGGACCAAATGAATCCCTCTAGTTTTTTATGCCACCACCAATAAGTGGTGACTATAATAATAATAGCCAATATTTTTGGGGTATTACAAAAAAGACCGATCCCACAGACCACCAATCAGTTTTCAACAGGTAGCCTCGAAAGAGGGTGTGAAAAATTAATTAGAATACTGGACCATGATTGATAGCCTTTTAAGTCCCCATCTAAAGTTTGAAAATATTTTTTTATCATTCATTTACTATTTTCCATAACTCAAAAAGTTATTTTAGAGATTTTTGAAAAAAAAAATTTCTAGAAAATGTGAGCATTTCATTTTTCAAATGTTCAAATTTCCCGCCATTTTTCAAAAAAAGTTGAAATTTTTTAATCGTCAAAAATATTTCTTAATGCATTTCAAAAAAAAAATTATCTTTTTAACACTAATGCAAAGACTGAACAAAGGACACACTATTTCAATAATAAAATGCCATATTTAATGGGCCACTTCGATGTTTTAGCATATCAAAATATTTTGAAACATTAGTGATGTCACTAAGGTAGCAATTTTTTTTTGATGTCAATCTGTTCTGAATATGCTAGACTTCAATAATAAACCAATGTTAATTGTCTAACTAGGTTAAAAGGATTTTAACCTAGTTAATTTTGAAATGCATTTTTCTCAGAACCATTTTCATGCACTGATAAGTTCATTTCTCGCTTATTTATGAACCGATTTTCTTAATTTCTTCGGCAAAAAACATGCAAAGATAAATGCTATGCATTGATATGAATTGTGGCTAATTAAAAGATATGTGTGACCTCTAAAAGTTAGTTTAAAATAAATTCACAAATTTTGGAACAAAAAGTCTATCAAAAACCACTTTTTGAAATTAAAAAAAAAGTTTCACATATCACACTCTGATAACATTAAGTAAGACTACAATATAAGCCAAAGTGGTTTAAACTTTATATGGGGCCTTTAAAAAGGTACATGGTACATCCACTGATGACTCATTACAAAAAATATATAGGCCAATAGCATTAATTGACAACTTGTTATCATTTCAAGAATATGTGTATTGTAGCCTTCATACATGTCTTAATTGGAAGCCCCAAAAGTCAACTTTTTGGCAGTTGAAAACCCCGGGCGACATTTCATAGTTTTACACTGGGTTAAAGGGTTCTTAATTTATTTTTGCTTGTTCTTACTTATCAGCTTTATGGTAAACTCTTTTCTGTGTTGATAATTTGGTGTTGGCAGTAAACAGTGTTTCATTGTTAAATTGAATAGCCCCATACCAGGCAGAGACATTGTGTTATTGTCATTATGTTGTTTAGATAATGAGGCACATCTCACCCTGTTAATTATTGCATTATCCCATTCAAATTGACATGGACTAGGACTGTAGAAAAGCTGATATGTCACATGTAGGGTGAAGAAGATTTGTGACGTATGACCAAATTAGATTGATTAGCACAAAACAGTTGGCAAAACCAGTCACTCAGTGCCAAAAATATTTTGATTTCCCTAAATTTCCTTCCAAAGTAGCTAAAATGGTTCACTTGCCCTCATCTACTGAAGTGTATATTGCAGTCGGATTTCACCATCATACATAAGATAAATGTTTTTATACAAATGTGATATTAGTTTTTATTTACACATTACACGTATATGTACAATATTTACACTAATTGCTTAGCTTCATGATGAGTAATCTTCACATTAAGTCTGAGGATTCGGATCCTGATCTACAGCGCCATCTTATTTTTTAATAAGAACTTTATTCTTAATAACAATATTGATCTTGGGGCTAAATGTTGAATCATGATCCTGATATAATAAAACTATGTCCTAGTCTTGCAATAATACTGTACACCTGTCACATGATTCGTGAGGCGAGGCTATAGGTTAAATTTGAAAATAAATTAAAAATGATTGTGAAAAATTGATTGTCCTTTGGAAACAGATAGCAGCTTAAGCAAGGCAACCTAGGAAGTTGTATTTTTGTCCTGATTCATACATGTAGATAAAAAGATATTAACGATATTATGCCTCTGTGAGATCATCATTGAAATAGAGGTGTATAGCTTGGAGATATGTGTCATCATTCATGCTTAATTGATAAAAGTCCTCATCCTCATCAGGTATTTCATTTTCCTCTAGTGTTTTGTCCATATCTAGATTCCTGCCATCATACTTCCAGGTGTAACTAGCAGCATGTGCATTGTATGTCAGATATCGGGTCAGAATCTCATGCATATTCTCTTCAGAGCAAACCTGTAAAAAATTCATGCATAAGTTAGAAGAACATACAACTTGAGAGACATTGCACAAACAGGTAGTCAGGAAACCGCAGGAATTCAAGATTAAGAGTACGAAAACATCTGTGTACCTCAATCTGGAGAATTAAGTATCAATATGATTTGACAAATTAAAATGCTACCAAAAGTTTAAATATGTAGCATATAATTTAATTGTCTTATTCCCTTAAATCAGTGGTGTTGGGAATTTGCAGACATCCCCAGTCAACCTCTGAAGAGGTGAACAGTCATTTGCATTGCATACCTCTATAACCTGGTCTTGTGATGTCAATGTATTGATGATTTTTATAAACCGTGTTTTCTTTGAGAGAATCCCAACATTGTAGCTATCATCCTTCCACCATGGACGTCCAAAGTCATTGACCCAGTCAGAGTTGGGACATGGAGGAGCTATGTGGATGAAACGTCCATGTGGTGTGTAGGGAATAACACAACCAGTCAAAGGGTCGACATGGGTACGTATCTGAAGAAAACAGCACATTCACATAAGAACATTGATAAGATTGAAACTTCATTTTTTCATGAATTATTTATCTGAGATGTGTATATTAAAATTGTAATACTTCAGAATCAATACTTCAGCCTTACTAAAGTTAAATAAAGTTAAATAGTTTATATATCTAACATTAACTCTTTCATGAGAAATTTTTACCATTAAAAGTGATATATGTAGTTAATATGGTACTTACATCTTTCAGTTTAGGATTAAACCAATGTGATATATCAGTGCCCCCTGCTTGAATTATTGGTTTTAGGAGAACATCACCTATAAAAGAGGAAATAAATTGGAGTTTTTTAACTCTGTGCTTTTTGTAATCATATCCGCACATTCAAATTTTAATTCCTGATTGGAGTCTGATGTTATTTCCAGCCACACAAAACTCATTCCATACATACATTGTCTACACCTTTCAGTTTTGCACAGAGTGAACATATACCTAGATTATTAGTTGAGAGATGTTAAAGTCACTTGATTTTTCAAATTTTCAGACATTATAGAAAATTGGTACATGTAGTTACAAAAGTTCCCTGAGCACCAGTCATAGAAAAATGGCAGAGACAATGGTAAAGATTAAAAGGTGGATTGGATCGAGTGGATTGGATTAATGTAAAAGGTGGATTGGATCAAGGGGATTGGATTCATGTAAAAGATGGATTGGATTTAGTGGATTGTACAGTGGAGACGATAACCCCATTTAACGTGTAACACGGAGATTGCCATTTTGCACATCAATTGACGTGAATCACGCCAATAAGCAGAATGTCCATTGTAATTCATAATTTGAAACACCAGGTTAATTAGAAGACCCAGTGTTTACTATATATACAATCTAAGTAATATTTCTTTTATAGTACGTATACTTAGGTAAACATTAATGATATATTAAATCCCAAGGAAGCATTTCATTCCAAAATTGTGGAGAAAATGCCGTTCAATCTTGTGAATTTTCAGTCAATGTTACGAACCAATGAATTCACCACCGAACTTGCATTCTTGGAAAGTCTAAATCGATCGATGGAATGCTTTTTATTGCATTTTCTTCAAGTATTTAATCTAATCTAGCACTTGTTTGCAGGAATTCGCGATCCTATGTGGGAATTTTGCACTAAAACTAATCAAAGTTACCTCTCACGAATCCTAGAAAAACGCCATATTGGAATTACTAATACTCCTTCAATTGTCTAGATATCGTACTTCATGTTAAATGGGGTTATCGTCTCCACTGTTGCATTAATGTAAAAGGTGGATTGGATCGAGTGGATTGGATTCATGTAAAAGGTGGATTGGATTGGGAATCTTAAAAATATTAAATTCCTTTAGATTTTTTTTTCTATTGATCTCCCTCTAAGAAGATTGGCCCAGGATCGAGTCTAGAATTTCAATTGTGCACTAGAGGCAATCTGAGCGAGATTCCTTTTTTTGATTCGGTTTTTGGCGCATGCATATTAAATCAAGCAATTTAATTGGTTCAAATTATTATGACGCATGCGCAATGAGTAACTTAATAAGAACATTTAATTTCCGATAGATGTCACTTACGTTCATTGTTTCACAGCAGTCCTTACCCATAATACACCATATTTTGCGGAAATATATTTGTTTCGTGTCAAAACAAAACATATACACCAAAAACAAATGTAATGACACAATATCAACCTGTCCCTGATTTGTAGACGTTTGTACAAACTTAAACCGAACCGATGACAGAAAAGCACTTTGAATCATTGGAGTGACGTACTTCCCGTAAAGAAAAACCGAGCCAAGTAAAAGCCGAACCTCGCGCAGATTGCCCCGACTCCAATTGTGTGCGTTTCATCTAGTATACACAAGAAAGAAGGAACTTGACCTTTCGGAAACTCATGATCAAGTGATCGGTAAATTCAGTGAACTACATAATACATATTTTCTCAACTAGGCTACATGTACATCAAAAGTGTGAGGTGAAAACATGAAAAAGAGCATGGTAATGCTTCATGTTGAACATACAAACCTTTACTCACCTTTATGTACATCACAGAGGGGAGTCAGGTCATAAACCTTGCCTAGAAATGACACCCAAAGGTCCTCTAATGTATTATGGACTGACACCTCGTTTGGTGTAAAGAACTTAGGTCGTACCATCGCTTAAAATGGGTAAGAAGCGGCGTTTTTCACTTTCGTAAAATTCGTTCTGTTGCCAATACACAAACGTAACCCTGAGTGGCAACTGTTGTAAAACGAAAATTCACAAAATATAACGTCTATAGTCATTCAGAAAGAAAAATATTTTACAAAATTAATTAAATAATTGTGGTATGAATTTCAGAAGCTACAATTGAATTAACAGTGTTTAAAAATTGAATATTAATCTATAATTGATGTTTTCTGTTGAGAAACAACGTGAGCATTTAGATTGTACCATGGCTGGTGAATTTCCGGGGGTAACTTTTTTATTGCTTTATTTATCGTTTTATGAAGTTTTTTTGCTCTTTTGTAGCAATATCATAACTTGAGATGCTAAATAATTTTATTTCAAAATGATACGCATTAAGATACTTTCTTACAACAATAGTATTTCTTGGTTAAACTTAATTTTTATAAAATTTACTCAATTATCGCCCAATATTTGTAAGTTCGGAGTCATAATAAACCTCAACCATCAAAAGTTGTCACAGTGAGCTAAATTCTCACGAACTAACTTAGCTCAATGAGCTAAGTTTTATGTCTCAAACTCTCCCAAGCGGTAGAAAAATAATCCCGTCCACTCTCAGTAGAGCTCAGTAGCACAATAAATGAATCCAAAGCTTCTAAAGTGGGGGACAAAAATAAATCTCAACCCTCAAAAGTTGTCACAATGAGCTAAATTCTAAGTTTCGTGTATCAAACTCTCCCAAGCGGTAGAAAAATAATTCCTGTTCACTTTAGTAGCACAATAAATGAATCCAAAGCTTCATACCTGCAAATGATGGATAAATCCCTACCAAATCGAACAAATGTTTTCATGAATCGCCATGTTTGTGATCCAAGGAGGATTGACTCCCAGAATGCAATGAAACGTGTCATGATGCATTCTTGGAGCCAATCCACATTGCGGCATAATCGGGCTCCAGAATCAGAAGAGTCGGCATTAACTTGTGAATTCCACTTCAAATTTTTAAGTTCTTATTTGTCACTATGGACACAAATTCCACTATATCTGGAATTAATAGGATGGAGAAAATAGAGCACTGAATACACTGAGGTAAGAATTTATTACATGTGCGACAGCATGTAATTTCCATAGCTTCCATTTCCATAGGGAGCCAATCCTCCTTTCGGCAAAATCGGGCTCCAAAATCACCTCAACATTTGAAGAGTCGGCATTAACATGTGAATATCCCTTCAAAGGTCCACGTGCAGTATGGCAAGTGATTTTAGACAGTCACATCTTTCACCATGAGTACTTTCTGAGCATAAATGCAGTTGTTTTTATTAAAACAATATGCTTTCTTTCAAGTGAAGTCCCCATGATGATAAAAATATCAATCGAATAGGGACGCCACGTCAAAATTTTTTTCAAAATGTTGAACTTATTTGCACAAAAGAGGATCTTCTTTTTCTGATTTTTATTGCATGAAAAGATTATTCAACAAGGGGTCTAAAACATCTTCAAAAGTAGAATGGTATTAAAAGTCTAGTTTTGAAGATATCAATTTTCGATTACCAAAATCATGCTGAAAATAATGGATAGCATGAGTTTTCCCTGTGGGAAAATAACATGGGAAATGTGGTTTTTAACTTTATCACATTTCAATACCCATCCCCTTTTCAGAAGTTATTAATATATTGTAGATAGAACTTTTGAAATATTTAAATTGAGAAAAAAGATCCTCTTTTTAGAAAATAAGCCTTACATTTTTAAAAAAGTGACAAGGTGGGGTCCTAATCCATAATTTATCAGAGAGTTGGATTGATATTTTTCTATCATGGAGACTTCACTTGAAAGAAAACATATTGTTTTAATAATAACCACTGTATTTATATCCAGAAAGTACTCATGGTGAAAGATATGACTGTCTAAAATCACTTGCCATACTGCACGTGGACCTTTTTAAGTTTCTATTTGTCATTATGGACACAAATTCCACTATATTTGTACGTTCCGGGATGGAGATAATAGAGCACTCAATTCACTAAGATAAGAATTTATGACATATGTGACAGAATGTCTTTTTCATTGTGTTAGTTATTATTTATGTTCACCACTTTAGACAAGTGGAGGGGACACCCAGAGCTATAGCGATGGCAGACATAATTACGTCTCTTCCTTACCACCTTCGTTTGTTCAAATTTTCAACGTCTAGTTTCCAAATACTACACTTAGATGTGAGATCGATGTAGTCATATTCCATTCACCTTTCACATGATCTGATATTATCATATCATAATATCAAGTTTGTGTAATTATGACCTCTGAAACTGCCCCAAATTTTGGATGAGATAAGATTCCACTTGCAGTCATTTCTTTGTAAATGAGATTTTCAAAGGAAAGAGATCCGACAAATTGTGAAGTATTTGACTTGTGTTTGCAACATCGGACAACGGATAGAGGGTAAACTTATAAGATGTAATTCATAGCACCCAATCCTAGCAACAGGTAAATAAGATGTAAAGGTAATCACAGGTGACAAATTAAAGACTCAGGATATTATTGATTTCTGGGTACCAAAAGACTTATCAATATTAATTTGATAAATCATACATACATTGATTTAGTTTTATCAAAAGAGAATCATTTGTTATCCACCAAAAAGTGGTGACATATTGTTGTTATATGTGACAGTAGTTCGCGATCGGCAAGTGGCGGTTGGTGGTTGGCGATCGGTGTCTGTAACAAATTCTTGCAACTTCCAATAACTTAACAAATACTGTTTAGACTGACTTCATTTTTTTCAAAATCATCTACAAGTTATCAGAAGTTCAAATCTGACTTTGGATTTAAGATTTGACCTTCTCAAGGCCATAAAAGGTCAAAACGGTATTTTCAACTTGCTTCAAATTGATCAATTTTTTTTCAAAATCATCTGCAAGTTTCAAAAGCTCAAATCTGACTATCGATTTGAAAGTTGATTTTCTCAATGTCAAAAAAGGTCAATTGAAAATAGATTTTTCAAATTGCTTCAAATTGACCAATTTTTCTTTTCAAAATCATCTATGAGTTCAAATCTGAAGATTTGAGATTACCTTCAGGGTCAAAAAAGGTATTTTCAACTTGCATCAAACTACCAATTTTTTCCAAAATCATAGATGCAAGTTCTCAGAAATTCAAATCTGTGAGCAACTATGTTGTGACATTTTGTTATGTTAATGTATTGTATTTCTCAAAATGCTCAGATTGCACCAAATAGTGTTTACGTAAAATAAATTACACATTGTAATATTGGAAGGTATCTTGCTAAATATCAAGGTGAACCACCTTTCCAGTCATTGGGTTGTAGTTCCTTCACTGCGATCAAGCAAGGACTAAAGAATGGTGGACATTTTTCTTGGCAAGAGTAAATTACCTATCAGTTCATCAAAGCACTCCAAAAGACTGTAACTTACATATGTTTTGATTGCTTCTTGGTTGTTTTGAATAGTTAATGAGACCAAAACTCACAAATTAAATTCTGAAGTGAAAAAACAGTTGAGAAGTTGAATTTTAATTATTGTAGTCATGACATAGAAATCGAACCATTGCACCCTGTGCTTGTTAAAAACAATTGAACCCATTTGGCCGATCATATTGAGGGGTGTGAAATGAAGATTCACCCCCTCAATTCTTCTTCATTTTACATTTATATGTCTCTGCTTCAATGAAGAACCAAAGGATTTGCCAGTGCTACTTGTGCCAGTGTAAAGAGCATGCAAATCATAATAGAATCGTGGAATTTTTTTTCAATATGTTCTGTCTATAATATACAATTTTGCTTAGTCCACAGCTATCTTTTTATTCCAGAGTGAAGACCAGACGTCTGATAGAGCAGAAAAAATGAAGAAGCTGGAAGGATGGCTCAACAAAACGATGAAGATTAAAATGACAGATGGAAGAACTCTTATTGGTATTGCAATTTATTTCATTTAAAGATTCTAAAAGAGGCACACCCCTATCAAGTAATAGATTCTGCAATGTCTAGCCTCTTTTGTCTGTTGTCCAAAAAAGAAATACATTGAAGGTGCGCCCCAATTGAGCACAGTTAATTCATTGTATTTCCTTCCTTTCCCCTTTAACTATTCAATTGAAAAATTATTTATTTTTCGTTTAAAAATAAGTCACTTCATTTTAAAAATCTATGTAATTGATTTTCCCCTACCCCTCCCTTAAATATTGATATTGCATTTGTCATAATTATAAAACTATGGCCTCATTATGAGAAAAGACCAAAAGGTATGCATTTACCTCATACCATACTTACCATACATATGGATGCTCTTTATGTAAAAGTTGCTGCAGTTGGATCATTTTATTATTCTTTCATTTCAGGTGTGTTCTTGTGCACAGACAAAGATAAAAATGTAATTTTAGGGTCTTGCCAAGAATATCTCCATTCTCCTGGTAAATATCCTTCCCTCTTTAGTCAGTAAAATCATTGTAATCATTTTAACTGTGAACTGAATTCAAGCTTTGATAATATGAACATAATTTACATAATTGGCATGTACTCCATGTATTACCTGTGATGCAGGGGAGCCAACTGCCAAAATTTTACAGAAATACATTCAGACTAAAGCTGAAAATGATGTCCCATAGAAGTTTTAAATATCCTTTTTGGTTGAAGAATGTCTATTTAAATCGCCTAGACTATTTTTAGATCCTGGCATATATCCCAGTGATAACACTTGTATATACCGTATGTATGTTGCAGATGAAGAATCTGTTGATAAAAAAGAAGAACCAAGGACACTAGGTCTCTCTATGATCCCTGGCAGGCATATTGTATCTATAGACATTGATGACATAACTACTTCAACATTATCCAATAGCTTCAATAGCACAGAGTCGTGACACATGTTTCACAATGGATTTTGAATTTCCTTAGCTAGGACATTTTTATCCTTCATTCACATTGAAGATATAGGCTATGTGAATTGGATATTTTGGTCATTGACCTATTGGATTTATTGTGACATTTGCACCAATGGCCAGATGTGTAAAAGGAATTTAAGAGGAATTGAATATCAATGAACTAACCAAAGGTGACATGATCTAGTGTGGTCATGATGACTTTCACCCTGAAGCTTTCGCTACGTAAAATAAGAAGTATATAAAAAATACTAAATTGGATTTAGCTTTGATATTTCCTTTTTCCAGTGTTGTAATTAACTGATCAGAAAGTTTCTTACTAACTGCCCTCATATTTTAAATTGTAATTTATATTCAGAGCTGAACTTTGGTAATCAAATTCTATCTTCATGGGCGTAGCGCCCGGTACGCTGGGTACGCACAGGCGTACCAGATGGTTGCAAATTCGCTCTCAGAGAACCAAATTTGAAAATTTTCCTGGGGGATAACCCCCCTGAATGCTCGTTTTTTGATTCACTCAACTCTTGTTCCTGTGGTTGTGGCGTACTACTTAGAAAAATAGCGCTACGCCCATGATCTTGTATCTCAATCATTCACCATCACCTAATTAAGATCCCAATTTGGAAATGATTCACAAAATAAATGGTTGTGTATAAAAAATAAATTATTTATTTTGTTCCATTGACAGCAATACTGCTTATACAATATTAATACATAAAATCACTGAAATAAAAGTACAAGCATGTTGTATAAGTATATGTACTACATGTATATCCAATAACAAAGAAAATTTAAGAATTAAATTGAAGTTATCTATCATTGGAAATAAGAAAATCTTTTAATTCTGTCTGGAAGAATTATTATTATCAAATAATCAAAATAGAGTTCCACATTCTACCCTAATTAATTATATTGATTAAAAAGATTTTAATGACAAGTTAAGAATTTTTTCTTGGGCTTAAGAATTATTTCTGCATTTCATGCATTTAAACCTTGCAGACTGTATAAATTTACACTGTACTTGTTCTGAAAGACATAGTGCTCATTGATTCATCAAGCCAAATTATATCTTTGTTATGCACCTTTCAAAAGTTTGCGTGAGACCCCCACCCCCCCCCCCCCTACGCGAGGAGTGAAGGGAGTTTGATACACAACTAGGGGTGGGAATTTGACAAAGATTGTCGTGCCGGGGACCATATATGGTCTCTCTAATTAAAAAAATATTGACATATAGGGCTAATACACAAAGTACTGTATGTGTATCCCTCAACATTCATGACACATTTATTTGACCCCAGGCTAAGGAATTAGACAGGCCAAATTTCTTTTGTCAAATTCACCATCCATCCCCATGTGGGGGGTCTCACACAAACTTTTGAATGGTGTATTACAGGTCAACATACCAGTATATACAGGGTGGGCCAAAAAAACATCCACTTTTGTTTTGCTACAATGTTTTTAATATTACAGACAAATGTTTAAAGCATATATCATTGGAAAGGCAATTCAATTTCCAACAAAATAATATATACATATGTAATTCATTTCACATAAATGAGTATTTGTCACATGATAACATTTTGATTACCACAGGGGTCAAAATCATGATTTACTGATTGCTGAATACAGAATGCTTAGAACTGACCAGACAGAACCCCAATATCAGCTTCGGGGATATAATTCTAATTATAGAAGGTCAAAATTGTTGATTTATGCAAGGAAAATGATTTACAAATGCAATATCATTGAGTTCTTTTACCATTTTGATAGATATTAGTAATATAGCCTAAATAATGCAGTTAAGTCTATCAAATAGGCTAGTTGAATATTTATTCACTTTCAGTAATGCCTATTCAAGGTTAAAATAATCATGAAATGGTCAATGATGATGTTGTACTTATATAACTTAACTTAACTGACAATTTAAATGGCAGACAATGCACTGATTGACACCAAAAGAGGAAATAATGGAAAATTCAATATCATGGGTTAGGGCAAAATTTCAACTGAGTTTTTTAGCAAAATGTGTTTGAAGCAAATATCAATGTATCTAGCAATCTAACTTTAGAGCAAACTACAATGCATAAAAATATGTTCCATGATTATTTTAGAGCTTTAAAATGATCCAAAAACAATAAAACTGAACTCCAATACTTTTTCTAATTATATAAAAGCCTTAAAGTGTAGATTGAGCAATGCAATATTATGTAATAAGCTCAAAACATAGCAAAATCTTGTTTTCGACCGTCACTACCTCATGATACGGAAATTATCATGGAGTCACCAATAGCCATTCATATTTTATGAATCATATATAATTTTGTTGGCAATTAAATTATCTTTCTAGTGTTATATAATTTATGGATATTCTTTATTTATCAGAAAATATATTACAAAAATAAAAATGTGGATGGTTTTTTGGCCCACCCTGTAAATAAGCTAAAGTGTATTTCTCTTACAACCAGTATGTCCAGAAATTTGGACCAGATTTAAACTCTCAACTTATAGCACATTGCATCTTTACATAACAATCCTCTAGTCCCTAATAATCCTCTAGCTGTGAACAATTAACTTGTTACATTCTAAAGTTAAAGTCAAAGACCCCTTGCATGATGAACTTGATCATGTGTTGTTTGTCCTTCAGCTGAAATTTGTAGTCATTCCTAACTGTGTGGACCTTCTCATGTGTCAAACCACCTGGATATACATCATACATTAAATTATTACAAGATGGTCATATACCTCACTTTCTGGTTCTTCTTCTTTGTTTCTGGATTGGCACCCTACATAAGCAAGTGTAGAAATCAGATTGTGGGTCAAAGGTGCAAGATCTGTCTGACAGACGAATAAGTTGAACTAATGGGTAGATTATCAATTAATACATATAATAAACAGTGCTATGTAAATGCCTTTCCGTAGAAGACTAACCAAAGAGAGACCTAGAAAGCCAGCCAAGTGAACAGACTTACCTGAGTTGGGAGTACATGTGACTGTGTAGAATGCCAACCATGTGGAGCCTGAAAAGATCTCTCTTGGCTTGCAGAATTCATGGGACAGAAATAGCACCTTGGCTAGGAAATCATAGGCGTGTCTGTAGATATCCTGTGATAAGAGAAAATTAAGTGGTCGTTAGAAATCAGTTTATCAAAATGATAAAATGGCCCGAGGAATTACATTTTCAACAATCAACATCAATTCCGAAAAAGGAATCTGAATTTTATAAGTTTACTGAAATTACAGATAATCATTATGTACTGTATTCAGATTGGGAGATGTTCGGATTAGCCAGGTGTTCAGATATACAGGTTCCACTGTACTGTATTTAGGGTTATATCGGTGACATACCTGGAACCAGTTTCCAAGAGTGATAGCCCTAATGCTGGGCCTAACTGCTATACATTGGTAGGTGTCTTCATATCTCCCGCGGGAGAAAGTCATGGCTATCAGTGCTAAGAGTTCATCAAATGTCACATTGAGATTTCGGCCAACATTCAGCATGAGAAAGTATCTCAATACGTAGCACACAAATCCATTCTTTCTCCCATATCGATGGAAGAAATCAATGTTGTAATCTGAAAATATACTTAAGGATATAAAAATTGCTCACAAAAAGACATACATAGAAGCAATGCATGGGCATCAATAAGGGGGGTGCGTTGGGTGCGAACACGAACAACAATTTTCCACGGGGGCCGGGCCCCCAGATGCGCTGTCTTCTTCCATGCCATCACTTTCCTAGCCATCTATATTTTCTAGAAAAAGCACCCCGACCCCTTTTTCAAATACGGCGCGGACTCTGTTCTCTATAGGCCTAGTCACACATTGACTTTTGCACGTTGGTGGCTTTGTGCCTTTTTAACACCTCAGTTGTGTATTCGTTGAAAAAATCATAAAACCAGATGTCACATTTCCTTGCACGTATACATTCTGCGACTTATTTGTAAACGTCCTCGTAAAAATAAATATTGCAGCTTTGTTGAAATTTCTAGCAAAAGTCGGCAAAACTCTACTTTTTAAATTGTAATCTATTTTCGCAAAATAACATATTAGCGGTAGATCTATCGGTTGTTAAAAATAAGTGATGGCCAGGGATATTATTTATTTATCTATTAGGGTACCCAAAGGCGCATTCGGGGGAGTGTCTGGGACGCCCACCCCCTCCCAAACCTGTCTTTATTTTACAAAAAAATGATTTTATGTCCTTCGGCCATGCAGCTCCACCTATATTTTCCGGAAAACGCGCCCCCCTTTTCAAATGTGATCCGATGTCCCTGCAATGACATAGGAAATAACAGCTTACAAGATGTTCCAATCTTGGGATAATTGTGTAACATCCTCAGATATTATCACCAAATAACACAAATTAAACTAATACATTATCATGAAATAAAGTCTAAACTGATAAAGTCAGAACTGATGAATCTTTTATAAAATAGATATGACAAGGAATGCAGTAAGGAAAATACAACCCCTAATACCTGGTGGTTCAAGAGATGTTAGAATCCTATGGAACAGCTTTAAACTTGAGAAGACCTTGTCTGGAGAGACATGGTGAACAAGGGGAATACCTGGAGCCCTTGACTTGAACACCTATAATGAATAGAAATATGAAATTATCAAAAGGGAAAAGGGAAGTATGTGAATGGGATTTGAAGTATTTCATCTTGTGTGATTTTATGGCTCTCTATCAAAATGAAAGTGTTTTTATCAAAATGTAGTGTTTTCAATAAATAAAAGTATACATTACTTTGGCAGAGGCAAACTCTGTCATTGGTGTTCGACCATGCTCCATAGAGAACTGCATGTTTCTCTCCAACAACAGCCTGAAATAAAACACATCAAACTGTTATTATATATTATCCCACGATTAATGTGTTATCTGTACAATAACAGCTATTGATATTTCTGATATTATTGAAATCCGTGTGATATTTTCCAGAAAATCGTTTATCAAACTCATATGCGTGTGATATCGTTTATCTCACGCATATCCGTGTGATATCACATTTGCATTTCGCGCCACAATATTGTTGGAAATTAGGTCAGATAATTTATTCTCTTGTTATATTTTATTATATTTTTATTATATTTTATTATTAAATGTGATTGTAATCATGGGATAAACCCAATATCACATAATTTCTCGTGATATCATTTTATCGCCTCGTAGATATCAAATATCAACACTCATTCACTCGGCGATAAAAATGATATCACTCAAAATGATGTGATATTCTGTATGTATTAAATGTATGTGATGGATGCAAGTAGATATTATCTTCTTTTTCATCATTGAATATTCAAAATTTAGTTAAAGTGATATCATATTGGAAAATTAATCTACGTCTGATATTTCATCTAAAAGTGCATTTTTAAAAACTACACATGAAGTCTAATCATGAATCTTTTGAAAATATGATTTCTAGGTCAAGTCAAGTAGGTCCATGTTATTAAAATATGTCATTTAAAATATCTTTACTTGTAGTCTGAGTTGCAACATTATCTTTTGACTGTGATATCTCAAGAAGTTGTATAAGGTTTCGTGTTTTTGAACTTTTAGGACACCCTGTATACCTGTATAGGAATTCCCTGAAGCCAGAGAGAGCAATTTCCACAGTGGGGTGACCCCTAGAGCAATCCTCAAGTAATTGCCTGTGCCAGTAGAAACAACAATGCATGGCCATGATGGCAGGTGGAAAGTTCCCATTCTTGATGTGTTCATCAATATGGCTGGTTTGTTCACTACTTGGTGGGATCTCCTCATGGAAGTTGAGTGTGTAGAATTGACGTGTTCTTTTCACAGCATCAGAAAATGCTCGACTATTTTGCTACAAGAATCAAATGGGTATACACTATACATGCATATCATTATTCTGAACAGCATTGCAAACAGGTATCATTCTTACCATGATATACTACAAGATGGCACAATATTTGAGTCAATTACAAGAGAGGTTGTAATTTTTGCACAGTTACAATTGACACATGTTAGGGGTTGTGTATCTTGTCAGTCTTACCATAAGTTTGGCAACTGCTGGGTGGTTTTGTACATTTCTGTGTTTAACAATCCACTGAGCATAATCCAGAACCTTGGGGTGCCTATTAAGCCCTATCTGATGGACCAGAGATCGAGTGAAGTGACTGGTGAAGTCATTGCCTGCTATAATGCTGAACTCAACCAGGGCACTATGGTCAGTACCAAGCTAAAATGCAAGAAACGTATGATTAAAGAAAGTTAAAGAGTCACATATTAGTCTATGATTCTCTAGGCTGAAGACATTCAGTATATATTTTGTAAACATAAAAGTCAGTCCTTTAATTAATTGAAAATCTAATCTCTGTATGGGTACCTTGAAGTGATAAACATATCCAAATTGTGAGTATAACTATGATGAAAAAGAGAAACAATAACAAAATGTCAACTTGTAAGAAAATTAATTAATTGAATTTCATTTTTAGAATCAAACTTTAAAAAGCTGTCTAATTAATTTAACAACTTTCTAATTTAGAAATATGATAAAATATCATAATGCATACACGCAGAGCTGGGCCTACACTCGTGGTAGATACAACTCCAACTTCTAGCCTGATAGGCTTTTCTGTATAAGCACCTTCTCCCAGTGTTAGATCACCATGCACATCAAACAGCTCATATGGTATAAACATACAGTCCCTCATCAAAGCAAAATCTGTGTCATTACTCAGAACTACATAAGCTTTGGGTCTCACTTGAAGAGCTCTTGCTATCACAAAATCAGCCTCGCCATAAGTACATTGTACAATCTCCACACCACATTGTTTTAAAGTATCATACATTTGTATCTCTTGACAAACTGGTCGTATGTTAGTTCTATCAGGCAGATCCTGAATCTGACGACGCCCATTACAAACGTCTATCAGATAATGCATCCTCTCAATATCATTTCTATGTCTACTTTTCCAGGTTTCAAATTTTTGTTCAGTTGCACTTCTAGAGCTTCCCTTAGCACCATCAACATACATCACTAAGTGTATATCCAGAGATTTCAGATCAGTAACAAGTTTAGTGACAAATCTATCCAGCGATTTATATTCTCCACCATAGAGTTTCAGGAATTCATTTGTACAATGTTTCTCCATTCCCTGCCAGAACCTTTCAACGAGGTACTGCTGAAATGAATAGTAGTCCACCAAGATTTCTATTCCATTGCGCTCCCGTGCAATGTTCACCAAGTCTTGATAGTTCACACACTGGTCCCTGGCCTCTAGGATGAATGATAAGAGGCCCCTGATCCCCATGCTACTAATGTGCTAAATTGCACAGGTCTGTAATCAAAAGAAGAACAATAAATCAGACTATATTGTGAAAATGCCTTATTGTGATCATCTTTGTGAATGTTTGGAGAAGTTTAAAAACATATGGATCTCAAATAATATCAACTGATTCTATATTTATTTATATATCAATTAGAATCGATAGTCTTAATGTAGATACTATACATGTAATTCACCTTCTTTCTGTTTCTCAATCAAACCTAAAAATAAGCAATCAAAGGAAAACACAGCAATATTATATGGAAAATTACATATATTCTAATATTGACATAACCCAACTGAAATGGAATAGTGAAGGTTTAGAGTTAGGCCTATAGATTCTTCCAAAATCCCCAACAATTTCAATTTGGGTTTAGATTAATATTCTGCTATCAATTAATGAATACTTTTCCAGATAATACCGAAGCTGCCCGTCAAGTCAGTTCAACATAAGTATGCATGAGTGTGTGTCATCTCAGTCCCCCAACAGTGTCAAGATACCCATCATCTCAGTTTTATTACAGTGCTCAAATATATCGTTATATAAAATAATTCAAAATGATACCAGAGTCCAGTCCAAGACCTTAACGGCAAACGTTGGAAAAATAGTGTTGTGCTCCCAGTATTTAGTCTCAGTCATTTCATTCTCTGGTACCTGTCATCTCTATTTCTGTTACCCTTCAACTTGAAATTTCAAATTTGTCCCCGTCAACTCAGTTTTTCGTACCCCTCAACTCAGTTTCTAGTATGTGTACCTGTCATCTTATTTATCCAATCAAATACTAGACTAATGGCCATTTACGACATGTTTTACAGTCGACCAATCACGTAATTTCTGAAAAGTTCGAGTTGACAGCCACGGGCGGCGGCCCAAATCGATTTGGGAGGAACATGTAGCGGTATCTTTGAGTACTGTTCGACTGAAGGCAACATGTACATAATAATACAGCCTTCAGTCAAAATAGTAGTCTACTAATTACTAAATGGTAAAACTAATAGATGTCGCTACGTGGTCTCAACTAGCGTTGACGCTTAGTAGACTAGTCTATAGACAATTTATTGGCTAGAGTACTAGTAGAGACTCATACTAGAGTAACTTACTTACGATTTAAGATAATTGTCAAGCTTTAGGATCACGGGCGGAGGTTTGATAGGCTAATCAGAGTGGAGAAAACAGGTAAAGTGACTGTAAAACTGAGTCCTTCTGAACGGAGTCAAAAAACATTGTCACGTGACTGGGGATTCCCCGGAAGCAATTGCCCGGAAGTGATTCCGCCATTTTGGTTGCAACTACAAACAAAAAAATATAAATTTAATAATAAATGGATATTTACATTACCTAGGGTTCTTATATATTACAATGGGGACGGCAGCTAGTACCTCGAACCCCGAAGTTGGCGTCCCCATAAACCCAAGAGTGGATTATGCCGATGAAATGTCAAAACAGAAGGGAAAAGTATGGTCATATTTGTAACCTAAATTCAAAGTCAGCACTAGGCCTAGTCTATCAATGGTATACTCTACTTTATTTAGATAGACCATGGGCGTTCTAATTGGAAACCCATGGATAGACTAATATCTTATTTTATGAGAAAGTGCTGACTGTGCCTAAATTTTACAGAACATACCCACCTGTCTGCTGTCTATGCTAACTCTAAAGCTTTACCCAGATGTGTTCAGTAACCTAAAATTAACAGTAATATTTTATTACAAGTTATAGTGGAAAATATATTCATATAATACACGAATGACATTCGTCTATTTTTGATTGCTTGTGGTTTGGCTAATAAAATGAAATGTGTGGTCTCATACCTTTTGATGCTTCTCTCACTGCCTTGTCTAGATGCATAGGTGTACCTTTATTTATAAATCTGATATACAGGGTGTCCCAAAAAAGGAAACCAGCAATAGATTGCTTATTTTTCAAATATGAATAATGATAGGAAAATTTCACAGCTACCATCTGATAGATTATGAAGTCCTCTTTCTTATGATACCAAAGCTTTCTATTTTCCTTCACGGATGACTGAGTTATAAGGGATTTAAGTGACCATGTCAGAAATGAGTTTGTACCAATTTCAGCTAAGTCAATTTCACCATCCTAACAAAGTGATAAGTAACAACAAACATCAGGATATCACTCTTATACTCATTTATTCCAATTAAAATTACACATACATGTATCATATTTAACACCCCTTTTAAATCCCAATGTCCATTCAAAGTTGTTTTAATCCCAGTGTCATCATCAGGGATGCAGTACGTGCGATGATACAGTGTCATAATACTGGTCTTCTGGTCTTGGATTGTGATATTGGTTCTTGAATGGTGGGGGGAAAGGGGGTATTAGACATTGCTTCTTTTCACATTAGATCATGGTTTTGGGCTATATGGGGTTTGTTTTTCTTGACTGGTATGCACTTAGAGTTTGCTTTTTCTTGCTAAGTTCCATTACAACTTTTGGTCCTTTCCCTTTGACACTAGTGCTTATATATTTATAATTATTTTCAAATAGTAATAGCACAGCAAGATGGAATATGGCACCAAGCACAGCAGGTTTTGTCTAATAAGTGATATTTGAATAACATTTCTCATTTTAAGAGACATATTTAAATGACTTTTTTGATTTACATGTACATGTATGTCCAAATGTGATGATTATTTGTATTTTCGTGTCAGTTCATTTGCTGTAGTGCCTAACTGCTATATAAACTTATTATTATCTTATTTTTGAAATCATTGCTTTGCCATGTGTCGGTTCATTTATTGTTGTTTCTTGATTACATAGAAAAAATCTTTATATCCTACAAATCTTAATTTTATTCCTTTGCTTTACTGCAGAAACTGTTGATTGATGCTCCAGTTCTGGTTGAACTTGAACATGGGACAGTACGCTATAGGGACCCAGAGAAGCAACACATAATGAAGCTTGCTGATAAAGACAAGCGTATCGAGAGACCACATGAAGGTCCAGGAAAGCTTCAGCAGAAACGAGGCTATTTCTATCATGCCAGACTGAATGACTTTAGTAAAAGTAAGTGAACATTAGCCTCATTAAAAGCAGAATCAGATCTAGCAAACTAACAACTAGGCTATATATTTGACATGTTTGAGGTATTAAACCGTGAGCTCTCGATAAAAAGCAATCGTGAGTTGTTCCGATGTCCCTGGTGATATTTTGAGCTAAATTGAGAGGATATACGCAGATGAACAATTGGGACATAGAATTTGCACAAATACTCACGATAAAGGCGTCATTATCACGATTGTTTCTTCCATTGCTTCATTGTTCTCCGGCCGTCCGATTTCTTGGAAATTCATCGCCGTAAGAATATCATGTGACTTGTACATTAAAGCCGTTTGTATGGGTAGCGTTGATTGACCACTCTCTGTATATTCGGCCCTTGTGGTCTAAGGGAAAAATGCTTGTTTCCTGCGCAATTCGACATGGTTCGACTCCTGGCTTATCCAAAATGATATTTTATTTTTTGTTGTGCTTTTATTCTGCACTGGAAATACCGTTATCAACAATGTCATTTTAATATATAGGCATTCATAATCTTGTCAGTTGTCGAATTTATAAAAATAAAAATACATCCAAATATTGCGTTTTACATAAAGATCAGACTTTAACTGATAGGTTCAAATTTGCAAGTTCCACTGTATATGTTGCTTGTTCCTCTCTGTTTTGGACTTTTGGCATGTGTGAAAAGGATTTGAGCATTAAGATCCAATCTAATAATGCATTCATTTGATTATTTGATTGTATACAAGCATGAACAATCACCCTTCAGACTCGTATTTAACTGCACATAATGATGAATAAATTCATTCAATTATTTCTAATCTAATGGATATATTCTTGTGCTTTAATGCTTAATTGAGAACACTCAGCCACCTTTTGTACTGCACATGTATGTAATGTTAAACTGCAAACTCACTACATGGTTGCACTTAAATAATTCTTTTTTTCAGGTGCTGATAAAACCAAAGAAGATGACTACAAATTCAAATATGTGTGCCAGGGACCTGTCAAAGCCAAACAGAAAAAACTCTATTACGTATTTGGAAAAGGTGCCAATGCAATGGCTGTGGATAAGGGCATTATTAGGAGTACACAAAAGAAGCCACAGGGAAAAGGCTATGTATGGCAGGACAATTTTAAACAACCCAACCATGCATACTTTGATATGACATTCCTTCAGCAAGGTAAGGAAAATGTTGAAGAGAGAGCGAAAGACAGGTCTATTATTGTATATGAGTACTAATGCACCTGTCTGTATGATTTGATATGTTTTTAAAACAATTAATAATTAATTATAAATTGATAATTTAAACAATATGTCTTTTCTATTGGAGCTCATCATGATTAATGGAAACACATGTGATAATGGAAAATATTGCTACCAGTACACTGTATATGATGCATAATCAGATACCAGACCCATATGTCATAATTGGTAAAACAAGTGAATTATAAAGTTTTGCGAAAACATCAAAAGTAAAACCTCCCCTATGATAAAATTTAGCAATAATGACTCCAAGAGCTCTGCTAGCAGAGGCTGCTAATGTTTTAATTGCCTTTTTAAAAGTGAGGTGCTCATCTAAATACAAACCTAGGTATTGGTATTCATTTACTGAAGATATTGTGTTCAATCCACAGAGAAATACAAATTTTGATTGTACAATACTTTAAGGGCAAAAATGTAAAACGTGGGTTTTTTCACAATGTTAACATGTATAACAAACGTTGCAGATGAAGAGGGAATCGCATCAGATGATGAAGACACTGAGGTGGCTTCAGTTTTAGCTGATGACACAAGTGATGGGACAGGACACACTGTAACAAAGTAAGTTGAACTTGATCTGATGGAATATTGCTTTAAACATAATATACTGACTGGACATATAATCTATTAATGTTGGCATGCCCATTCTTAAATTCCTACACTGCTGTTTCATTTTAGTACCTTTTAGTTGTTTTGTTGGGGATGGGTGGAGTTCCTAAATTCAAGTTTGTATACAGTCCCCCCCCCAAGTTTAGGCCTACAGTGGTGTTTGGATATGTACACAATTAAGTCATTTGTTTCTGTCTTGAGTGTACATGAAGAAATTCTGATTTTCAGGTTAAAACTCCACCAGGAAGACACTGTGCTGAAAGTGCAAGAACGTGTGGGACTTCAGGTGCTGAAACCAGCAGACCATATTCATATCAGCTTATTAAATAGAGAGTTAAAGTAAGTACATGTATTAAATAAAATATGTAATGGGTCTATCAATTTTAAAGCCCCCATGCTTTAAACTTCATAGAGAAGTATCTTGAGGTGGCTTAAATATGCATACTGTATTATGACTCAAATACTTGTAGTCAAATGTTTCTCTTTATAGACCAATTCATCATGGACCTCCACTCAAAAAATAATCCAAATGCATGCTAAATTCAAACAGGTTGCCAGGATGATGTTTTGGCTATAACTTACATACTGGTTTAGTTTCAAAATAACTATAATTAGGGAACAGGTTAATGATTGCCCAAAAACATAACCAATATTTACATGACCTTCCCCACGAAGGAATATGTAATTGATCATTTATTGGACTTCACCCACTCTGTAATCAATAAAAGCTTGACCAAGTACATTAAATTACATGCACTTTAATATTACCTGATGGAGTTGGTTAATATTTTTAAAAATTTGTGTCATGGATGCATTTGTATCATACATGTTTAATAGTATAGCATGAGTAATAGATGACACTAGTGAACAAAATTATTATGATGTTTCCATGTATAGTATTGATAGATATCACCAGGTATAAACAAGTATGAAAATACATGAACCTACATTATGAATTATGGAGGCTGTTTAGTCAATTTTTGTAATACTGTAATCAACTCCTGGGGTCGTGAATTTGTAAGATCCCCAATCCAATCCCGATCTTTTGGGATAAATCTTGGATTACTAATCCGATAAATATTTGGTGAATTTGTACGATCCAAGGATTATGAGGGGGAATCCTCAAGATTTATCCAATTTGCATTGGAATTCGGATAAAATTTATCCAAAAATTAATCCACCGATTTTTGGATTAATTCTGGGATCAATCCCACAATACATCATTACCATGACAAAATTTATGCAGATTGGATTCCGGTTTGTACAAGTTCAAAATTCCCCTGGGCATACTTTTAAAGCTCAGCTCAAACTAGCAATGTCCCCACCCATAGATGTTGACTAGGTTAATAATATCTGGACCTTATGGGGATTGATCAGTTATCATGGCAATTATATTCTCTGTTGATTTGGAATGCACCATTATAAAAAACTTTGTTATTGGAACAGTCAATTTTCAAAAATCAATGGATTCTTCTTGCTAAGAAAGAACAACACAACTCAATTATTAGCAAATCTGAATTGCAAAAATCATAAAAATTATTGAATAGGAATACTATCAATGCGCTTTTTGGGCAAGATAAAACAGCATAACTTGATGGTAAACATTATATGATCTTCCTCTCATGGTGATTGGTGGGGGATGCCACCCTTGGATAATACCCCTTGCTGTTTATTTCTGAGTGGATTGCAAAAGACGTGCCTTGGACTAAGTTTGGAGGATGATCAAACAATATTTTTTCAGTCCCTGTAACACCATTACCTCTGTAAATTGAACACCTGACTTGATACCTTGCAAGTGGAACATTTTTTGGCAGAACCAAGGGTGTTCTATTTACATAGGTTTTATAAGCCACCTCTACAATATGGTCAGCTGAACAATTGAGATATGAAATCAGAATTTTAATTAAAATGTTGACAAACATGTTATAATGTTACAGTTTCTTTCAGAAATACCTCTTTGCTTCAGCATAGTAAGGTCCTTTAAAATATGAGCAACCTTTATATTGTAGATGTAGACACAGAAGCATACACCGTTTTCAGAATTATAGTCTTGATTCATTTTTGTTTTCAGAAGTCATGAAGTCATTGGAGACTTAAGAAAACCAGAAGATGGGAAATGGACAATTTACAGCATTCAACTTGCCAAAGTTTGAGTTTATTCCACAGAACAGACAAACACTGCTTAATATATGTTAAAGTCAACAGATCGAAGAGAAACCATGCAAAGAATTTACTGATTGACAGTAGGCCTGATCATTAATCATATGGTTTTTTATAACACCATTTTGCCTTGTTAAGACAGTATATGATTCTATTCTAAATGACAAGAGCTGCAGATGCTGTTGTCCCTTTGATACGGGCTTGACACTTGACAGGTACATCGACATGTACACTGTATTACTATGATGTATGTAGGCCTGGGGATAGCCTTTTTGACAAGTACATGTAGAACACAGCAAATTGCAATATTCAGGTAGCCAAATGTGTAAAAGCTAGCCATAAGCTAATTGCCTCTACTAAAACCCAGCCCTTTGCTGATTATTGAATACGTCCCTTGAACATGTTGCTAAGGAGCGTGTCGTACCGGAGATTCGAGGGAACACCAATCAAAATTTCCCCAAAATCCATTAGTTAGCGTTCATATATGCAGCGTAATGTCCAGTTAGTATTTTCAACAAGGATGGGATGTCTAAGAGCAAAATTGTTTCATCACAGAACATATAGTAATTGGCCATTTAATTCGATTCTTAATAACAGTTTTTCTGAAAAGTTACGACTTCACAATGACGCATCTGTGTACCTTTTAGAATCAATATTTCACATTTCATGTCAAAAATTTCTGTTGTTTTTAAAATTTAAATCTCAAATAAAATAAGATTAATGTGAGAATGGAATGAATTACATATCACAATTTAATAGAAAAAGTATATTTTATGATCACTATTCTAATCTGCTGAGTTTTGACTCACATAGGCAAACCTGTGACAAAAATGCCAACTTGACGTCAAAAGATGATCTCCCAACATTGGTAATGTATCAGATGCTGGCACACTTTTGCCGGAAGTTTGCAAGAAGTAACTTTTGGCAATGTAGTATGTTAGGGTAACCTAGTAGGTGTAAGAAAATATAAGGTGATGGGCTTTAAAGTGGTAAAAACAATTTTCACGGCCGAATTGGACTTCAATTCCTGCGATTTCAGGGGGTACTATAAGACTATTTCATAACATAAAGGGTATAGTTGCTATTGTTCTGTTTTCTACAGCACACATTACTAGTCCAAAGATGAATAATATCCTAAAGTTATAGGCCGATATCTGTATTAGTCTCAGAAATATTGCAATTAATAGGAAAAAAATATGCAATTTTAGTCATTTTTAAGTCTCACCTATTTTATATTTGTAGCTTCCAGCAAAAGATGGCAGCTTAAATAGCTCAAAATTGTTTTCTAAAAACTAATTCAAGCTTTGTTTGATATTGTAATACAATTATATTAATGATAATGTACTATTTATGATTTTTAATATGACTTTATAGTACCCTACCCCTGGAAAGTGGGCGTGGTCAATGTTATCATTTTGCAGCATACAGTTAAAAACTTGTATTGATAGAAAGCAAATCAGTGCATTTAAAACATCTTCACTTGTTACTTGACAATGTTATTCATTTATTACTAAAATATATGACTCTACATATTTTATATATACGTTTTCAATTTTGTATTGAAACAATGTATCATAATGAAATCTAATAGGCTGTTTCATTTTCAGTGTTCACTAACACATGAAATGTAAGTTACAGTGTTTCCAAATTACCCTGGCAATGAGAAAGTACCACAAAGACTACATAATATGAGCAGATTCAAGGTCCTAATACTTATACTTAACGATCTGTTGGCGTTCAAAAATAGAGAAAGCTGTCGTGAGTGCAGTTTTAACTAATTTTGAACTGAAACTGCTACTAAATGAATATTTTTCTCACCATCTGTGACTTTTTTGGACCCCAAACATAAGATACCAAGACATAATGCTACCAAATTCTGATATTGGAAGTTTCAGAGCTCTAGATCAAATATTCACTTCTGCATGTACTTTTAAAAAGGACAAAAACCTGTCAGATATCGCGAAAAATATGAAAGATGCACTATTCAGAACAATTTATCTATTAAATGTTACTCTTATTTGACATAATTTCTGATTCTGCCTCCAGTTAGTACCACCAATAATACATATGAGAAGACTTAAGGTCATAGTAAGTGGAGTTACAGATCTATTGGCTTCTGAAAATGGGAAAAGCTGTAGCAAGTATGATTTTCACCAGTTTTTCATCTAAGACTGCAACTTTCTGGATTTTCTTTTTACAAACTGCACCATAAGACCAAAGACATTAAAGGAAACCTGGTCATTGTACCACCAATAATAAGTAAAAATAATATTGTAATATATACCAAGTATTTACTTTAATTCCAAGGCATCTGAATTGATAAATAAATGAAATCAGTACTTTATTGTATCTTGGGACAAAATACACTGTTTGAATGCTTAAGCTTGACATCACAGTATCAAGTGAAAGATACTTTGTTATATACAGCTATATATCACTTTAACTGACTTTACTCTTCAATTTGAAATATGCCTGGCCATCCTAAGAAAGACGCGACGGAGGGCAAAGAGGGTGCATGGTATAATTGGTATTAAGCTCTTACAGAGTTTAAAGCTCTTACAATTTTTGAAAACGAAATGGAGAATAACATGTGAAAGTATAGGATGGACTAATTGTTCTTGGAAAGTTCTGGAAAGTAACATTGCATAAAATATTTAAGCAAGAGATATGTTCCAAAATACTTTCAGTTGAAGTAAAGCTCCGTAATGTAAAAACAATGTATTCTCAGTATTCAATAATAACATTCTTTATAGGTTTCTATTCCATCGAACGAAATTCGGAGGGATATAGGGAACACCTCCGTCCGTCCGTTCGTACGTACGCACGTCTGTCTGTCCATCCGTCCGTCCATCCGTCCGTCCGGGCAATAACTCAAGTACCATTGACCCGATTTTGTTCATATTTTGTACACATATACCCAATGGAGGTACAAGTTCTGCTCGAAAACCAATTTTCAATGTGAATACTTTGAGCTTGGCACATTGTCTAATTAAACTTTGGGGAGTAGTCGGCCATTTTGAAAAATGGCCACAATTTTTATGTGTGTTATTTAACATTTTTTATTATAACATAAAAAGTAATAGAGCGATTTTGTTTATATTTGATATGTGAATACTCGTAAGGATTGCAAACAGTCTTATGACATTTTGGGTAGTAGGTGGTCATTTTAAAAAATGGCCACCATTTACATGTACCGGTGTGCGATTTTTAAAAATTTTATATGTGAGCATATTACTTCTTCTGATGACAACTTGGCTAGTGAGCAACCATTTTGAAAATGGTGGCCTTTCTTATGTGTATTATTTTATGATATTTGCTATATATTTCGTTTGTAAAAATGCCAGCCATTTCTGTTCGATGGGATTCGCTACGCTTTGGTGTTGCCATTGTTCTGATGCTTAAGTCACTTAATAAATAATAACTAGATGTAACTCCTAGTAAGTACTACAAGTTTCAGTTCTAAATAAAATGCAGTTTAGTTAAAAAATTGTTAAGAATACATACATTTTGTCACAATTTCACCATTTCTGACTGTATTTTGCATATTTTGAGGTGTCGATGGTTCAATGATTATTTGATATAACCTCCTGAAACTACTCTCATATATATTTGGTGGTACAGTGATATGGAATCCTGTCTTTGGGGGTCTCACGGATTCTAGTTTTAGAGAAGAAAATCCTGAAAGCTGCAGTTTAATATTATGAATTATAGGTGAAAATTGCACTCGCTACAGCTTCTCCCATTTTTAGATGCTAATAAACCTGTAACTACACTTACTATGACCTTAAGTCTACTCATATGTTTTATTGGTATTACTAACTAGAGGCAGAATCAGAAATAATGGAATATAAAAGTAAAATTTAAGAGATAAAATGTTCTGAATAGTGCATTTTATCACATTTTTCGCAATATCTGTCTGCATTTTTTGTCTTTTGGGTCTTTTTAAGAGTCCATGCAGATATGAATACTTGATCTAGAGCTCTGAAATTTTCAGTACCAGTATTTGGTAGCACTATGTCTTGATATCCTGTGTTTTGAGTCTAACCAAATCACAGATGTTGAGAAAAAAATTCATAAGTATCAAGTATTAGTTGAAACGGCTCTCGGGACAGCTTTCCTCATTTTTGAACGCCGATAGATCAGTAAGTATTAGTATTAGGACCTTGAATCTGCTCATATTATGTAGTCTTTGTTGTACTTCCTCATTGCCAAGGTAATATGGAAACACTGTGACTTACATTTCATGTGTTAGTGAACACTGAAAATGAAACAGCCTATTAGATTTCATTATGATACATTGTTTCAATACAAAATTTAAAACATATATATAAAATATCTAGAGTCATATATTTTAGTAATAAATGAATTACAGTGTCAAGAAACAAGTGAAGATGTTTTAAATGCACTGATTTGCTTTCTATCAATACAAGTTTTTAACTGTATGCTGCAAAATGATAACATTGACCACGCCCACTTTCCAGGGGTAGGGTACTATAAAGTCATATTAAAAATAATAAATAGTACAATATCATTATTACAATTGTATTACAATATCAAACAAAGCTTGAATTAGTTTTTAGAAAACAATCTTGAGCTATTTAAGCTGCCATCTTTTGCTGGAAGCTACAAATATAAAATAGGTGAGACTTAAAAATGACTAAAATTGCATATTTTTTCCTATTAATTGAAATATTTCTGAGACTAATACAGATATCGGCCTATAACTTTAGGATATTATTCATCTTTGGACTAGTAATGTATGCTGTAGAAAGCAGAACAATAGCAACTATACCCTTTATGTTATGAAATAGTCTTATAGTACCCCCTGAAATCGCAGGAATTGAAGTCCAATTCGGCCGTGAAAATTGTTTTTACCACTTTAAAGCCCATCACCTTATATTTTCTTACACCTACTAGGTTACTCTAACATACTACATTGCCAAAAGTTACTTCTTGCAAACTTCCGGCAAAAGTGTGCCAGCATCTGATACATAAGACAAAATGCCACATAGGTTATCGCAAACAATTTATAACAACGGTTATGAGCTTTTTCTGACCATGAAAACAGGCATATCTTTTAGAATCTGGTAGCGTATGGGGTGAAATTTCCATGGAAAAGCAAAAATAGAACGCCTCTTGAGAAATCCTGGCTACATGCCTGAGGCGGTAAGCTTGCATATAACATCGAAACGAAAACGTGTAACGTAATGGGTACCCGTATTATTGCATACAATTGTCTCCCTTAGTAGATACCCGTTCAGCTTCAGTCTTTCTGTTTAGAACGGATGTATGTAGGGATGATACCATACGTGTATATTGGTAAATCTATAGGTACATCTTTAGCATTAGCCTTGCCCAAGTCGGTCTCTTTTACTTTTCTTGATTTCTATTAATTCAAGATCAGATAAGTAAAAAAAATAACGTATACGCTTACATCTTTCCGTGTATGTCGTTAAATACAGTACAAGCCTAACCTCTCTATCATTAATGAGGTGAACGATACCTTGAACTCTTTGTATTAGATGTTGTGAATTATTTATGAGTTGTACAATACCAGGGATGCTGTATATGAGATATTAGATAATTGCATTCTGATGCTCATAAAACCTCTCTGGCTAAGACTGAAATGAGATGTCATGATCTGATCATCACTGTTCCACAACTAGTTACTTTGACCATGGGCTTTCAACTAGAATCTAATTGAAAGCCCATGCTTTGACGGAACGTCAATGTAACAAAATGGATGAACTTCCTGGTTACGAGTTTTTTGTTGTTTTCTCGATCTAAGCCTACTTTAAATAAGTCAAGTTGCCGATTATAATTTGGCACAAAGCTAGAAAATATAGTCTGACTTTGATAAGTTTTTTCGATTTGGAATTTGTTTTGTAAATGAAGTTGCAATTAATATACAAGGGTTGTTCAAAAAGTTTTGCACAAATACATCTTATTGTGAAAATAATGGACCAATTGTGTTCATAGTTGGTATGTATGTGCCCATATCTTATTTCCTTACACTGCCAAAGTTTCGTGTATATATACGCCTACTACTTAACATTTTATGGTTGCTATAGTAACCACGGTGATGACGCTATGGTCCATATCATTTTGTAAAAGATAACTAGTAACACATAAAGATCAATGTTACTAAACATGCTAAATTAACTTACATACACTTCAAACTTTTTAAATAATTTCTAGTATTGTTATTGTGGCAAATGTGAATCTTATCTCAATATTTTCCATCTTGTTTTCTTTGGTTATGTCAAAGAATGACCGTAATCATACTCTTCAAACATCTCAAAATCACCTGATTTTATGACGTTATCAAAGTTCTCATGAATTCAGAAAATATTGGAGAATGTGGCTCGAAATAATAAAGTTGGAGCAGAAAACATTGATAGAATACATGATAAATGGGAAAACAGTATTACACGTCAAGTTATATTCATTCATGATAAAGACATATTGCATATGATGACTCCAATAGGGTTTGCTGAGTCTCCAAAGATGGAATAAGAGAAGGGAAATGTATTGAGGGTAACTGCAGTTATGAGAAGGCTTGATATCCTATAGGTAGGACGGTTCAGACATTAACTTATGGACTGGACATAATGCTACAAGTATAATGCATTACTGAAAAGGAAGACTACATGTTAAGTACTGCATATTTAGATTAAATATAAATTAGTTATAACATAACCTGATTAAAAGCTGAAAGAACAAAGATTGACGGAACCATTTCAGCCTATCAAGGCATTCACAAAATCAATTCAATGCATTAAATGACGTCATATGGACCATGGGCCCTTTGGTTCAAATTTTTAAGTCAATGATTCTCAGGAAGTATATTGTTTATGGCCCTGAAATATCATATATATAAGCTTGTAATACTATATCTGTATGAAGTTTCACATAAAAATAATAAAATCTCTCCTCATGAGAAGCTTTCGTGCAAGACTTTTCGAACGACCCTTGTATTTAGTCCCTCGCTTTTGGTACTTTGACGAAGTCCGTTATACGTATTACCCATGTATGCTACTTTCAGACTTACGTCAAAGTTACAAAAGCGATGGTTGAAATACATGAATTCCAAACCGAGAGAAATTCTTAAAGCTAGACTTTATTGATTAACTTTGTGTCAAATGACTTATAAGAAGGTTTAATAAATCGAGAAAACAAAAAAAATCCAGGAAGTTCATCCATTTTGTTACATTGACGTTCCGTCAAAGTAACTAGTTGTGGAACAGTGATCATGATGGATAATTTGTGCGTTGCCTATACATAAGGGTTTTGTACTGGGAGGTTTTGGATATGGGGTTTATCCAGAGGGAGATATGCATATCTACCTGAGGGACCGAAGGTAGATGTGCATATCTCACGAGGCATGAACCCCATATCCAAACCGACCGTACATAACTGCTTCATCCTATACCAAGTAGAGTTTTCAGGGGCATATGGCCATTTCAATAGTCAAAATAAACAAATCGTTCATATGCAAAGTCATTTTATTGCATTTCCACTACTTACCGGAAGCGGGAAGATATGCACCGAAGCGGGAAGATATGCACCGAAGCGGGAGATATGGAGGTTTTGGATATGGAAACCTCAAAATCAGGATACGGGATATATCTTACCAACTTATCTCCCTAAAACTCTAATTGGCATAGGATAATGGTGGTAATGGTCCGGGGGTCGCTGCAGTAGCTTCATGATGTCTAATGACACTTTGGGTAGGCGGCCGGTTTTGAAAGTTTTTGCCAGTTTACGTGTTTTTTACTTTTTTTTTATTATAGCTCAAAAAGTAATATTTGATATGGATGGTACACTGTCTTATGACATTTTGGCTGTGTGCGATTTTGTTGAAAATTCATGTGTGTCTACTTAGAAGCATATTACACTTTCTGATGACAATTTGGGTAGTGAGCAACCATTTTGAAAATGTTGGCCATTTGTGTGTGTTATTTTACGATTTTTGCTATATACAGGGTGGTCCAAAAAAGTGAACTCCTGCAACAGGCTACAATTTTCTTAATACATGCATGAATTGGCTCATATTATCACATGTTGTAGAGAAAGGTCTAAAATTATGGTTGATGTCATATTTTATTCTCAGTCTTAAATTTTGAAAAAATTACAAGCGTTTAACAAACATGCCTGGAAATTAGATATTGTACAAAATTTTACAAATGTGATTCACGGAAATTGTTGAAACACATTGGATGATCTTAAACAGCTTTCAGTTAGAGATACAAGTTTAAAACCCTACCATTATGACAAAAGGGACACAATTCAAGCAGAAAACACATTTATCACATGCTCTGTAAAATTCCAGTAATCTGATTGGTTGATTACCGTGTGAGTTTTCCCGTCTCACACGGCCGTCTCACACGTTACTAGAGGCAACCAGTGATGATCAATAGCAACGATGTGACGTCACTGATTAAATCACTTCTAGCTAAGGAAAACAATATGACGTCATACTATTTCACAAACAAGTACGAATACAACGGTATGACGTCATATTGTTTCAAAGCGAAATCAAAAATTATAATAGTTACCAGAAGTACTGAACACAATCATAACTGACCAAATCAAAATGCTTCAAAATTCCTAGACATGTGATAAAATCGTCATCACACGTTTCAGCTTATGTGATACAGGAAATATTCCACTCGGGTAACAATGTATCACCACTCAAGCTTCGCTTTCGTGGATGATACAGTATTACCTTTCGTGGAATATTTCCTGTATCACATGCTGAAACGTGTGATAACTGATATTCACACTTTCATTGATCATTTTGAAGCATTTTAACTGTTCAACAGTTCAGGGGTATGTTACCTACACCAACAGTTAGAGGGGGACCTCTTATGGAAGGAAGTTGCCCCCTGTGACCAGGAATCTGATAGCCCCTTCATCAAATATCTTTAAAAAATCAAAAGAAAATCCAATATTCAATGTTTTGAGCCATATATCATTAGAACTGGTCCATGATTTATGAAGATATTGACATTTCAAGACCATATAGGGGTATGTTCATGATTTGACTGGAAAATGTTTTTGTCTGTGGAAGCTTAGCACATCTCTTTGGATCACAATAACTTTGCAACTAACAAATGTAGGATGCTAGTTTTAAGCCATAATGTGCAAGATTTTAAATTGAACAAAGTCAGAAAATATTAGTTCTTTAAGACTGCAGCTTAAAAAATTCTCAGGGGAAAGGTGTTAAAGGGTTGAAGTATCGCGGATATTGAAAATCACAATTTGTCCATTTTCAGTAATGTTTGGCTAGGGCTTATAATTTCTGCAAATTTCAAGACTAAGAAAAATGTATGGTACCAACATAAATTTTAGACCTTCCTCTACAACATGTGAAAATAAAAAATAATTCCTGCAAGTAATAAGGGAAATATGGCCAGTTGCAGGGGTTCACTTTTTTTGGACCACCCTGTACTTTGTTAATAAAAATGCCAGCCATGCATAGGCATGGCTGTTCGATGGGATTTGCTACGTTTTGGCGTTGCTGTTGTCTAGTTATGATTATTGGATTCGTATATTTTTGATAGCTATCGATCATTTTGTAAAAAGCATAACTCATAAATTGCTCTATCCTGTGGGCATTTATAATTATATAGATACTGTAGGTGTACTCTTTCACCTGTATAGTCATTTTTATACGTATGTCCTGATAGTCTGTGGTTGGATCAAAGTGCAACTGGTCACCAAAATGTTTTGACTAATGAAGATTTGCTTTTCGAAATAACCATCCTTCCCTCGGTTATCAGGGGGGGTAGCCATGCTCTAAATAGCCTTTGAGGCAAGTTTAAATTGGCGAGGCAAATTTGTGATGAAAGGGAAAATGATATTCACAATTCAGTTGAAAAGAAAGTCCGAAAGTTGTTTCCATGTCTCATCATTGATTCATATTTAAATATTTAATAAATTGATGTTATACAAATACCGGTAGATAAACTTCCAACCGATACATACACACGATCTTTTACTCTAGTGATGGGTTTATCATAACACTTAACATGTAAGATTTATGTAGCCTTTGATAAAATGGTTGTACTGGTACATAGTCTAGTTTCGTGCCCTTGTTGACCCCCCCCCCGCTACTCGCCACTCACCTTCTCGTACACACACAACTGGGTGAAGAAATATCAATCCAGAGTCTAGAAGCAAGCTTTTAATTGCTCTTTCCATAATTTTACTTTGTTGTATTTTAATTTAAATTAAGGTGGCCTAAAGTGCTGCTTATCTTTTCGTGAAGCCACTCAGTAAAATTACGATTTTTCTGCACCCTGATGTCCAATCAACATCATTCGAGTATCTATGTGTTCCTGACACGTTTGGGCATCCGGTAATGACAACGTCTACCCAATGTTTGCACGCGAAATTGACGTAATTCA